ATATTTTAGTCTCACGGTTCAATATCCGTTTGATGTATAAAAAAGAGAAATTTCCATGCTCGTCTTAACTTGTAATTTATTGAAATTAAYGGTGAACATTTAAAAGTACAGCAAGTTGCTCAGTGGATCTGTGCTCGACAATGCAACCTAGCTGGAGTAGTCGAACACAGATCCACTGAGCCTTCAACACAGAGCATCTTCAGAAGACAAGCAACTAAAATAAATGTTAAAATCTGTATTGTTTGATACAAAGGTGTATGAATCTAAAGAACTGTATTGAATGTTTGATAAAGATACATGTATTGTTGCACCCTTAATAAAAATCTATATTTATATGGGCTATCATAACTTACCAGCATGATTCCATGCCAGAACATCTAATAGACATAGTTCTCCACAAAGAAATTAGTGTCATCCATACACTGCATTACTGAATGTTTTCCTCCTGAAACAATGACAAAAAGACTGAATTTGTTTGCTTGGTGTTATGTTTTAAACTTAGCTTTCAWATCTGTCTCTGTAGAACTGTGCAAAAGTTTTTTTGTTCTGAATTGCAAACAATTTAGTGTTTAATATTGAAGAAAGCTTCACTCCTGTGGTTAACCTGCCAAATGTATATGTATTTATCAGGTGAGCCAATATTCCAAAGGGACACAGAAAATATGGCTGATAAAGTAAAATAAAATACAAGGAAAACTTACAAATTTGAAGCTGCAACTTTAAAAGTAAATCTTCAAAGGTGTAAAACTCCCAACATCAGAGCTCCACTGTCCTGCACGTTGTGCATGTTCCTGCTTTCAACACACCTGATTTAAATAAATCAATGATTAACAGCTTTGGGGCTCGTTCAGAAGGGAATYCAGTCATTTGAATCAGTTGTGTTGGAGCAGAGAAACCTCTAACTCTTACAGGAAAACGGCTTTGAGGAAATTAGATGTTTATCTGCAGACCTGGATGGGGATCATAGATGTTTGAATTTGTGATTTTATTAAGATTCAAGAAATTCTCCACCAGTTGTGGGCAGTGAAGACTCAACTGCAAACTGGTGGACATAAATAGTCCATAAGGCAGGAGAAAGACAAGCTTCTGTTGAAACACACACTGCTGATGTGCACTTGTTTGGCCAGATTCATCCCCACAGTTCTTTTTGTCAACATGCTGAAATAATCAGTCCGTTGGAGCCATCTGCGAGTTGAGTCATGCTTTTCTTTGGAAATATGAGATGGATCAGATGTAATCATGGATAATTATTATCAGTTGGAAAAAATCACTCGCGTGCTCTGTGACTGTGGCTGAATTAACAAAAAGGTCTGAATCGTTTAGAACAGAAAACAGTGTTATAGTTATTCATTCAGTTTAAATCTGTTCACTTCATCCTTTTTGGCTGAGTGAAAATCCCAGGAAGAAAAACAAAGGACATTTGAAACTCTTTTTTTTTAAAATCAAAACAGTATTTTTTTAATAAAACAACCACAAACTCAAATAAATGAATGGGTAATTAGGATTTATCTAGTAAAGCTCTATCCCAATGAACAGAATTGTTACAATCTTAGCTCAATAAGCGAGAATACAGAACATCCTCTGTTCTCTAATAATGGCTGTATTTCTCTCCTTTAACTGCACCATCATCATCATGTGGAAAAACAAATATTGTTCTTGGTTCCTCGCTTGCCTCTTTTCACGTTGGCTTTTTAAACGTTTTGGGCCATTAGCCCGAGCCAAGACTACTGTGGTTTTCTCGGCTTGAACAGACCATTGACAAAACTCTCCTCTGAGTGTGATTGCAGTTGACATGGAGTTCACTTTCTAATGGCAGCTTGTGGGTTCAGACTTTAAAGGGGATCAGGTCGGAAATGAGAGAAAGAGAAACAAATGGGGATGTTTTCATTGCAGTCGCACCGGCCTCGCTTGAAGCKGCGGCGCAAAGTAAACATGATTTATGATAAGTCAAATTGCAGCCATCATCGCAGCTGAAATGAACGGACTATAAATAGTGCATTCATGAAAAGGCTGGCTGGAGGAAACTAAATCATGAGCGAGCTYTGAATTTTTACTCATATTTGGTTCTTGGTTCAATTTGATGGTTTTGAAGAAGATTTTCTTATCATTACATGAAACAGTAAAAAACTCTGCATTTTGTCAGTATGTACATCACATAATGTTCTATGTGCTCTGTTTTTACAGAGAACTCATGCACTTAAACTTTTCATAAAATTTAATTAGCATCAGTCAGAGGAGCTCCACCTGGACTTCTTTGGCAAAAAGCATTTTATTTCAAATAAACAGATTTCTACGATTTTYGGAATCAAAGACAAACAAACTGCATTGGTGACACTAATTAAATTTAAATAATGATGTTACTTAAATGTTCCAGAGATAACAATTTACATTAATGTAATAATTTATGTGTAAATGGAACAAAGGAGGAATTAATCACTCATAAAAACAAAAAAAAAACATGAAACATTTAATTAATCTAAATAATAATAAAATATCTTAAAGACAAATTTAGTGAAACTGTAGTAGGTGATGAGCAGAAACTTCTGAATGGTGCATCTCGACACAAAAAAGTATATAAAAAGTACAATTTAATGAAAACAAGATAATACTCACTTGTCAGTATAACTTTCCACATATTGGACAAATGTGAGCATATAAAAACCTAAYATGAGATTTGTGCAAATTGCAGATGTTGCTGAACGCAATTAGGCTTCACTATTGAAGCAATTACACATTCATAAACGAACTAATGAATATCTTAATAAATGCAACCTTCCAGTCTGCTCATTATAATCCACAATACGGCTTTAATTAGTAAATATTAAAGTGCCTTTTTCATCTTCATTGCCTATTTGTCAGTAAAATAATATAATATAAAACAAGAACTGATCATTACAGCTGAGTTAAATGGCTTTTAGTTCATATTTGCTCATTCATGTATTCACAAACTCCAGASGTGGTGGCTTACATCCTTGTGGAGACGCTTTTGGTCAATTTTCAATTAACTCAATCGATGAGAATGTGGGGTGGTGCATAGAAACCCAAACTGGCATAATGGGGCAACATGCAAATGCCATGAAGGACAGAAATACCTGCACAAATTCCAAATCCAATCATATCATTTTTTTGTTTTAACATTGAAGCTTTCATAAAGAGTTTACACTTATTTAAGGCTTTGTTCATTTAACTGATAAATCAAAGATAAGAACTGACTCCCATTCAGTCTCATGGAGGTACAACCTATTTCCAGGCGTGTCACACCTTAAACCACTGCAATGTTGCAAACAGACCTCTGTGCCACAAAAAAAGTAATGGATTTCATAATCAAATGGTTTTCTCCTTCATTCCTGTGTCAGTTCGACTCAGTGTTTAGGAAGTGTCACCTTCCTCAGACTGAGAAGAAAAGCCAAAAAAAGCGGTGGAGTTACAGAGGCTGAGATCATCTGTCTGCGAACATCTGTTGAAAGAAGCTCTTGAGAGGAAAACCGAGCACTGGAATACACTTTAAATGAGCAGAAAAAAGGGGAAGTGCACCATGTTTTGAAGCTCAAGTGGCTGACATCCTGATTGGTGAATGCCTGCTTCCTCCATCAGCCATAAATCCACAGCCGCATCCGTCTCATTATTTGGTGGGGCAGCTGAGCCTTTGGTGTGGGTTAATAATGGGTTCAAGGGGCCTCCGAGAGATCTATCACCATTTCTAAGTTCCTGCTTTTGTAAAATCTTGAAACTCTTTCGGGATTGTTTTGACAGAAAATTGAACCCTAGCATTGTGTAAAAACAATAAATGCAAACTTTGTATTTTAATTTCATTTTTATTCCAGGAGGCTATTTTTTTTCATAATTTAAACAATACACACGTACAAAACTGTCATCTAAAATATAATCATACAAAGTCTACTTATAGTTATAATTTTCAAATTTCACATTCAAAATACAAAAATAGTTATGATTTTATTCTAACACTCTTCAAGGGATAAAAAGGAGTTGGTAACATTAATTTTAGGTGCTCTTTAAAAATAATCAGAAACTTTTGTTTTAATAAAATAAACATCGCGAATCATAAATTCCCCGTCTCGCAAATAAACGAACACTGCGTGGGTAAACAACAACTTAACTTTTTTTTTGTTTCTTATGAGCTGCCTCTAAAAAGGTTTGAATTAAATTCAACAAATGCAAATAAACATGATCTCACTCTGAGCTGTCAAGAAAAAAGATTTCTGTTAATAAAAGAATAACATCTCTTTAATGCTTTTCCCAGATGAGTAAAATTCCAAACAGCATAAAAACTACTAGACGTCTCTGACAACCCAACAAAGACACAAGCCGGTTGGTTTTTACTGAGCCTGCTGCTGCGGGGAAACGAGACACAAGTCATTTCTCTTCAGCCTCACGTTCCTAAAGATGGGCAAAGTCACGTTGTCTCTCAGGGTGAGGAAACCATTTAACGGATACACAAATCCGTCTCACCGAAGTCCTGTTTTCAGTTTTGCTCGAAATCCCTCTTTGTTTTTTTCTACCTCTCTACCTGCAGGAGCAGGACTGGACGGACATGTTGGGGTAAACTTTGAGCACCGGATTCATGGATTCGTCCTGGAAGAGCACAGCCAGAGGACTCATGTTTTCTGGGACACAGCAGGGCTCGGGAATTCCGGGGATGATCCCGACGGCTCGCACTATGCTCTGGATGGTGGCGTGGTTCGACGGCCGCACCACCTGCAGGACAGCCATGCAAATGACACATGTCACTCGTAAACATCCCATCATTGTTTCAATTTGATAGAAACTATGCTATATTTGTTCTCCTACCTGTGGCATGGGGAAACCACACGTCCCAGCGCAGTAGTAGGCATCAAAGGCCTTGGGAGCTATGATCCACTCGCTCCAGCCGATGTCTTCAAAATCCACCCGGAGGTTTCTCCTGGAGCACCGTCTGTCCTGGCTGTTCCCCCACTGCCGCCTCCTGGCCTTCCGCATCGTTTGTTCGTCGAAACTCAGAACGGGTGACTGAGCGTCAGCGCTCCCCTTGTGTTTCCTCCCCTCGTTCCGTCGCTCGTTCTTTCTCCTCTCGCTGACGACGACCGTGCGGCCATCTTTGCGGTTTTTAGCCGTCAGATCGCCCGTTTGGATCAGCTGCGGTGTTCGTTCAGCCTTGTTCAAAACCGGAGGTCGATGCGCAGCTTTGACTTCCTCCTTTCTCCGTTTTCCCTTCGTTTCGGATTTAAATTTGGGTTTTAACGCAAGGTACCAGTTGCTTTCCCACAGCTCGTCCTTCTTATATCCGCTGGGCTTGTACTCAACCTGAGGCAGCTCGTTGTTCTGGATGGGGTCCGAAAGCAGATTTGCTCCCCTTCTCACGCGTCCTTTCAGCTTTGCTGAGGAGTTGGGCCTGTGCAGGAGGTCTGCCCCCTCGTTGAGCGGGTCATACCTCTGCAGGCTAGCAGCCACGCTGTTCGGCTCCGTCAAAGCTTTGTCGTCAGCATACAGCAGCAGGTAGGGCGCGCTATCAGCGGAGAGAATCTCCCCTGCCTGTTTGTGGCGCTGCTCTCCGAAGTCCACTTCAACTGACACCAGCTGCTGACCCCTGTCTCGTGCTTCCTTGATGACCTGGGTCACGTCTTTCATCTGCCACACCCCTCCCCTGTGGGGGTGGAAGGTCACGTTGCCCAGAAGTGACCCCTTTGACCCAGATCTGAACCCTGCTTCAGAAGAGCGAAGGAGCAAGCTGATGGACGGAGAGGCGTGCGTGGCTGCGGAGCGACACGACGGGCTCTTGAAGCGTTTACAGAACCAAGATTTTGGATGCTTGTCAAGCAGGAAATGGAATGTGGCAGAGAGGATGACCTCTGAGTCCTGCAGGGTTGTGAAGTTGAGCCAGTACACCRTCCTGTGGTCAGCAGGGTCTGCAAAGACAAACTTTTACGTTATCAGTGTCAGTCAAACAGGTGACAKGTGMTTATATTTTGAAATCGTTCAAAAAATCTCTCGTGGAAACAGTTTTGCATCTTTCACATGCTTCTGTGTTCTGCTTTTGATAAGTCTCTGTTGTTTCATCCAGTATCAACCAAAAACTGAACTTTGTTTGAACTCAGTCATTTGAGCTTTCAGTGACCTGCTTCTTAGCAGCAATAGAGAAAAAAATATCTACAATAAAAAATGTCTAAAGAGGAAAATTGCCAAATWCAAAGGTAATGCATTTAGAAATTAGCATCACATCGAGCCAAAAGCACTTATCTGTGATTAAACCTTCCTGAAAACTGGGGCATTATAATACTTTTCCTTGTGTTGCAGACCGAGCAGCTTCTTGGTAAGGTTTCAGAAGGTGCCCTTAAGAGGAACCAGACTCTGGGAATTCAGCTGGCAAGGTTAAGAGGCTGGCTGTGTGTGGGGAGTGAGCAGAGAGAGCTGCATATTCATGATTATAACATGAACTTCAACAGCAGAGTTATTGTTCATTGTATGAGAGCTGAGCGGAAGTATAGACTGACTCAAGAGATATACATTACCTCAAATTCAGCCTCCATATGGAAATGTTTACCTCTTAAAGCTTTGAGCTCAGACACAGAGACGTAATCAACTGTTTCAACACAGTTGTGGAAACTTTCTCTCATCTCTCCTTGGATTACATCAAGCCGCTGCCCACGTGTTGTGGGTATCTGAGAGCTATAAATGTCCGAGAGTTGTGTTAATAAAAAAACAGCATCAGGCAGAGGGGAACCGCTGCGCTTTTGGATTCCAGGAGTTAGCCGTGCCCTTCAGGAACGACCTGCGATCATGCATGACCCAGGCTGTATGTACTGTGCTTTGCTGTGCGCGRCTCTCCAGGGAGTCACATGCATTCTTGCGCGTCTGCGCGCAAGTGGCGCCGCTGCGTCCAAAAGCCCTTTGGACGCATTCTCAGACTGATCCAGAGCATGCCCACCTATTCCGAGCGTAAAGCTAAGCTGTACCAAATGGTTGCACTTTTAATAACCATCCATGCAGAGATTAAAGCGGGGGGTGGGTGCATTTCTGCCCTGACTGTTTTTTTTTCTGTTCTGTTTTGTTTCTATGATGAGCTCGTGCGCTTTTCACTGCGTAAAATTCACCCACCTCGGCTGGCTCTGAAACTCCTGACCGTGTTTCCCTCTTTGAGGCGGTCCCCCCTGTTGTATTTCTCGTACAGTCTGCGCATATGCTGGTAGACCACGTCCTCGTCCAGGTCACTAGGATCCGGCGAGGTGTGAAGGAAACTCCTGTCCACGACAACCGACGCAGCGGCCAGGATGCAGCTCCAAACTGCCAGCAGGAACAGGTGGGAGGGAATCATGCTGTCAGTCAGACGTTAGGAATTCAGCGTCAGTTTTCCAAACAGAAAGACTTTTAAAAAAAAGATCCAAACTATTAAAACGCCGCGCCTAAAGCGATCCACGCTTGGAAAAAGTTTTTGCGCAAACGGTCCACCTCTGCTCCCAGTTTCGTGCTCGGGTGCGCGCTCTCCCTCCTCTCTGTCGGACTGTGGATGCTGAATGGGTTGGTCCTGGGCAACAAGTTGGGGCTGCTGCTTTCACACTCGTGTGATCGCCAGAGGCTTTGAGGGGGTTATAGTGGAGGGGTGAGAGGCGCTGACGTACACCGCAGTCAGCCAACGAGGTCTCTGTAGAGCTCAGAGCTAAAGAGGAGGTCATGATGCTGCCCNCCCCCACCCCTTCTCTCTGATGCTGATGATGTTCATGAAGATCATTTTAGGTTTACTGTGTTGCTTTGGAAGCAGAATGTATTAAACAAACTTTTGTTTGGCACTGGTTGTGACCAAAACCTTTGTTAAAACTTAACAAACTTTGTGTTTTGCAGGAAAAAATAAAACAAAAAAATCCATCTCACATTTTCCAGCACAYCACATTATTTCCAGTTACTGCTTTTGACATGCTCTCAGTCACACGTAATTAGCACAGAAACACCTACAATAATAGTCTGACCAACCACCCAGGGGCTATTGTTAGACCAAGGCTGCACATTTTGTACAGTGTGAGGTTCTAAATGAACGACCAACACTCTTTGAGGGACTGTTTTTCATGGTAAACATCTCGAGTTGTGAGCTTTTGTCTGTGACATGTATGTATTTTGGTATGTTTGTGTGCGCGCAGCGTTTCTCTGGTGTCTGAAGCTCGGTGCCAACAATGCGTGTTTTGTGAAAGTGGTGGTCTCCAGCAGAGAAGCAGTAACTAGCTGGGCCTCTCGGGTCACTCTCTCCGCACTTCATCTGTGTGTGCACTCACACTCGTGCATGGACACATGCCGGTATGAACGCACAGAGAGAGCTACTTAGTAGCTTTCAGGCCCCTGAGGGCCCAGCAGAATGCTCCTTTTCACTGCGTTCCCCACCAGCGACAAGTCTTAAATCTGAACTACTTTCAAGATGTCTTTGAAAAAGTATGTGTTTGTGGTGTGTGTGTGTGTGTGTATGTGTGTGTGTGCATGTTTTTGTGACAGTGGAGTAGCCGAATGAAGTGGCATGCTTTATAGTTTTGTCATAACACTCAGACGCATGAATGCTTTGCCTTTTTTTCCCCTCAAAATGAGGCTGATTTATGCTGTGATGCAAAACAAACCATGATTAACAGCTGTGGTTATTATGTTTTTCAAGACTATTCTTTATTTCAACTTGACGGAGTGTCATCTTTGAAAATTAAGTCAAAGTTCCAGTAATGATTTAGAAGGACCACACAATAAATCAAGACTTGTGGCTGTTCAGGATTGAGAAAAGATGTCATTGTTTCTCTGTAACTTATTATGTTTAGAAACTTAAAAAGTAGTCGTCCAACAGTGAGCTGGTAAGAACAAGTTATAAAACATGAGGCCATCTTGTTGCTCTCTTCTGAGAAAGGATGAAAAACATAAATGATCTCATAGATCAGTATGCTGAAAAGATTAAACGTGTGTAATGTTTTGCTCCGTCTTAGAAACAAGCATGGAATAAAAACAACAGGAAAGATGAATACAGGACAAATCTACAGTTTGTTTCAGAAAACAAAACGATTTTCTGATCATTGTGGATCTGATGATTAGTGTGTGTTGCTGAATAATTTGCACATTCACCAACTTGAGGCTTATAAAGCAGGGCTATTAAACTATATTGCTCTGGGGGCCACAGTCACTGCAGGCCAACAGCACAGGGGCCAAATATCCAGCAATTAAAGTCATTATGTAAATAAAAAAAACATTTCGTTCTTTGAAATAGTTTATTTTGCTCCATTTCATCATGAATACAATCTACAGAACGCTATAAAGGTAGGGTAGTAAAGAATAATAAAGAAGTATTAAAACAAAAATTACACATTTTGCCTCCTGTTTAACACAAATATTATTTTGACATCTCTGACTTGCCAAAATTTTATACCAGTTTTATTTTCACTTTCATAGTTTTATCTGCAACTGCTTCTAGTTGTAACTGTCTTGGATGTTCATAGAAATGGTTTTTAGCTTCTAGCCAAGATTCAGACCTATCTGTAGATACCACACGTCTATGTCGAGCTAAAAGAACTTATAGAAATTAAAGTAGAAAACCAGGGGTTTGGGCTTAAGAGATTAATTATCCAATTGGTGGGCCAAACTTTGGTCACTCATAGGCCGGATGTGGCCCGTGGGCCACCACTTAAATCACCCTGCTGTAAAGTCTGAGGGACTGATATCTCCCCGGCAGCACTGAACTGTGGAGCCTGTTATATCTGACTACTCAGGCTGTGTTACAGGGCCACACTGTGTTCTAGTTTGTTCAACACGGAGGTCCCCTCGTAGGGCCGTCCAAACCAAACAGGAGATGTATTCTGCTCTCTGTGGGGGTGTGGAGGAGCACCAGGAATTGCCATGCCTGTGTGTGTGTGTGTGTCCGTGTGTGGGGTAAAGGGTTGATGGTTCTGGAAGTGCTCCTAGGTTAACACCTTTGTAGGGTGTTGGGTGAGACGTTCTGGTTTTGGAGCGCAGCAGGCGACAGGGGTCTGTTAGATGCTCGTGGGTGGGCATCAGGACTTTGGTATGGATCAGCTATTTCCTACTCATCCTCAAGTGACCGATGTGTTAACAGCACCTTGCACATTAGTATGTTTGCATTTTAGATCATTTTTTGACAGTTTTGAAAGGTTTCAAATCTAAGGGAAAAAAAGCAAAGGATTATCTTTTTAAAACTATTCAACAATTTATTGATTCTGCAGTCACCCCTGGAACAAACTTTGTTCAAAAGTTGCAATAAAACTTTAAATTTTGTGTGTGGTGGTTTAAGGTTCAATCAGAGGGATAAAGGTATTGGTTCCTATAGGTTGGTTTGGTTTGAATAAATATTGGCCACTAATACAGACATTATATTTTTGTAATATAAATGAATGCAGTTTTGGAAAAATAGCATTGATAGCATATCRTCAAAAAAAAAACCTACACATAAAATAAAATAAAATAAATTAAATAAAAATTTACACTGCTGAGATGAAGAGGTGTTGCAACATTTTCATGTAAAGTAACAGGAAGTGATGTCAAAGAGGAATGTCTGAACGTGAACAGAGCATTGCTAAAATATCTGACAACACAGAATGTAGAGAATATGAAACCCTTTAAATGTTTTCAAGTCACTATAAGATGAAAATGAGTCAGAGTTCAAACAATATTGTTTTTAATAAATAAACCAGGGAGAGTTCCCCTTTGATGTCACTTCCTGTTTCACTTTGGCTGAACCAAGTTCAAAAGAAAATATATCAGTTATGTGAAAAATAGGTAAAATCATTTTGCCAAGTATCTTAAATGTAAAGATCAAAAAGAAAAAAAATTGTATAGGTCCTCTGGACGGGTTCTTCTCTAATGAAACGTTTCGTCTCTCCTCCAAGAGACTTCTTCAGTYTGAGAGTTTCAGGCAAAATTCAGGCTTTTAAGCACTGCCTCCATGTGACTGATACTCACATCACATGGCTATCGTTGACACCTAATTAACACCTATTGTTAACAGGGGGTGGAGTGATACTGACAATAGCAGCACTGTAGGAGGGGGACAACTGAAAACGGAGGCCTCCACCTCTGTTTAATGATGGACGGTCTTTCTTCACAAAAATGGCTTCTTTTACTCCTATCTCAAACCAACCCCAAAGATCCGGTGCCCTGGCACAAACAGAGCAATGTTGTATATGCTGTTAAGTGCCAGGAGGACTGCGACCAGTTATACATCGGGGAAACAAAGCAGCCGCTGTTCAAATGATTTGTCCCAACACAGACGAGCTACATCTAATGGCCAGAACTCTGCAGTTTTCACTCATTTACAGGCCAGCGGTCACTCTTTCAGAGATGAGGATGTTCTCATTCTTGATAGAGAGGAACGTTGGTTTGAGAGAGGAGTAAAAGAAGCCATTTTGTGAAGAAAAACCGTCCATCATTAAACAGAGGTGGAGGCCTCCGTTTTCAGTTGTCCCCCTCCTACCGTGCTGCTATTGCCAGTATCACTCCACCCCCTGTTAACAATAGGTGTTAATTAGGTGTCAAGATAGCCATGTGATGTGAGTATCAGTCACATGGAGGCAGGGCTTAAAAGCCTGAATTTTGCCTGAAACTCTCAGACTGAAGAAGTCTCTTGGAGRAGAGACGAAACGTTTCATTAAAGAAGAACCCGTCCAGAAGACCTATACAATTTTTTTTCGTTTTGATTTTTTACCTGGATTACTGAGATGCATCAGGACATTAAATGTAAAGATGTTTTCTTTGACCTTATGCATGTCACAGGCACTTTAAGACGTAAGATAAAAATGTTTTAAATAATATTTAACCTAGCTGGCTTGCTATAGACAGTAAGTTTGGGTTCCTAAAATAACGTTAAATAGAGGTTACCACCAGCTATCTTTACACTTGATGAGAATGTTTTTGCTTTAGCAGGAATAATTGAATTAAATACTGATTCGCTGCTGCCAGCTTCTGGTTTCGAGCCAGCTTCAGACACTGGTTGGAGAATCCGACTTTATGAGAGTCCATTCTGCTTGTTATGAGTGTGAGAAAGAGCATGAATGTGTGTGTCTATGGAGACTGTAGTTATGCTTGGGGGTGTAACTCTGTGACCCATTCACATGGTTAATAAAACATTCATAGAAGCAGAGGAATGTTATGGTTTTTGTGTAAGTGTGTGCGAGCAGCCGTGTGTTTTTGCGTGCGTGTGCGTCCTTGCCTGTGATGTTGAGCCCCCTACAGTGACCCCACGGAGCGCACCATTCTGTCCACAAACAAAAGGCTGGCTGTTCCCCCCTATTTCAGCCGTGGACCGCTCCAAAACCGACAACCGTTTGCCATCGAGTTAACCAAATATTTCCCTTTCTGCTCTGAATTTGTCTCAACAAATGGTTTTGTGCTTTGAGCTTTTCTGTCTCCTCTGGCTCTTAGATTTTGATAAAACGTCTCTGAACCCACGGGTGGTCCTGCGGTGAAAATTCAGAGAGCRAATTGTGACTTCTTGGTCTACCGGATGACGAAAAAACAACTGAAAGAAAGCACTAGACTTCGGTTTCACCTCCTGTTACATTTTG